GGGGTTGTTGTCTTTGTTGTTGAAGGAACACAGGATGAGTTTGGGGTTTTATAAACGGTTTGATTACTTGTCCAGGTATAGTAGGAAATGCATTCATTCTATTTGCATTATTAAAATTAGAAAAATTAAGTTGTGGTCTTAAACTACTTGTTTTAATCTGCTGCGTGGGTGTTATTTGTTTAACAGGCTTGTAATTTTGAATTTTGCGCATCTGTTCATACATAGATGCATTTAAATTTAAATTGTCTAACTCTTTGCAACCTTTACGAGCATCTAATAATGTACTAGGCCTAATATATAAAAGATGTTGTCTGTATGGCTGTTGGATTGCCGCACAGAACACTTTAACCGCTTCTCTCTTATAATGATTCCTACGATAAATCTGATCTGTTTCGTTTTCTAATGCTTCGGACAATTCAGACAAAACTGAGTTTATTCGTAAATAAAATTGCTCATAATGTTCGTTTTGTAACATATAGCTAGAAATTAGTTTATTCTAAAGTAAATCTACAGATTAAATATTACCAAAATGTTCCTTAAGCAGTTGCTTAAGGGATTCCCATGTAACTGGTCTCTCGACTGAATATAAAACAGCCGCATCGTCTTTTAACTTATTTACAATTGAATGAAATTTTAGATTAATATATTCGATAGAAGAAGTAGCAGCATTAGTATAAAAATTATCAAATGCTGCTATAAACTGGCTTAATTCGCTCTTGTTCCCACTAAAATTTGGAATTGCGGAATAGAACAGGTCGAATTTTACCTTAAAATCTCCGGTGGAGATTGCAACCAGGGGTGCAATTCCCTGAGAGGTCTGTACTTCTCGCGGTTGAGATTGTTGAGGTTGTTGGGTATTCATTGTGAAGGGATTCAGAATATTTACTAGTACAAACAATATAACTGTAAAGGTACTGACCTTAAATCCACGACAATGTCCTTCTATATAGGTACCCTTCGATGTAAAGTTGTGTTCCTCAATTAGATCCTCAGATTTGCAGTAGACAATCTTCCAAGTCGATCCACAGGGGATGATTTCCAGAGAGCCTGTCGATTCTTCGTATNTATGTATGTATGTATGTATGTGTTTTTATGCGTCCGTGTTGTTCGAAAACAGGACTGAACCTGCATAGATTTACTGAGAATTTGTTGTTTGTAATGCATCCTAAGCGACCTTGATCGAATTATAAGTATAATTGGCGGCTATCTGTTGTGTGTATGTATGTACGTGTATGTGTATGCATGTGTACAATGAGTGTAATTAT